CACACTATACCCCCCACCTCTAATATCATCAATTCACAGGCACTTACCTTCCTTGCTTCCCCCCCCCTGCATCGCCCTCCTGTTCTGAAATGTGATTTGTCCTTTTCATATTTGTTCATTTTTTTTAATTGTATCCTTTGGTATATATGGTTGTGACTATTTTCTTCCACTATCAGATCAAAGGAAGTGGGTCTGGCCCACGAAAACTCATCACCTAATAAACCATCTTGCTAGTCTTTAAAGTGCTACATAGTCCTGTATTTTGCTTCAGCTACACCAGACTAACACGGCTACATTTCTATTACTATGCTTATTTCTGTGTCTAAATCCTCGTGTAAAGGCCATCAATAATGTATGGAAAAGAAATTGTGAAGTTTTAATATTTATTACACGTTCAAATTTTATTTCTCTGGCATTTGCCATTATTGAGAAAGTCATACAGATTTTTACACCACAAATAGTAAATTGATACAGTAAATCATGGATACCGTTCTATAGTACAGTACAAAATCAATATATCTGATATTTATGCCATAGGGAAACCAACAATTACCTTAAAATATAATTTCCTAGGTGTCAGTACTATTTTGACCACCCTAATTCAATTTTAACTATACTATTTTACCAGCATCTGATCTGTTCCAACTCACAATGGGTGTTTTCCCAGTGTATTCAATGGCAGTTTGGGCCCTTAAAAAAGCAGGTAACACTATAAAAAAGTAATTTCTGTTTCTGTTAAATGTAATTTCTGTAAGTATTTTCCTTTTTTCTTCACTACTAGCATTTAACTGAAAAGGGAATTTAGGTGACTTTAGAAGGTCTGCTTCTATTGCTTATTCACCTATCCCCATCTAACATAATTTACTGTGAATTCCCACTTGGCTGAAAATGTCACAAAGAACAGTGCCATCTAGTGATTTCAGTGGGAATTTGGAGCACTCAGCACATTGATTAACTACATCATTGCAGGGCAAGAAATAACTGCCCCATCTGCTTTAATTTCGTGTGTTTCAAACTGCAGTGCACATCTAGCCCACCACTAATAGTAGATCAAGTTATAGTACATATTGTTAGTTTGCTTTCATAGGGAAAACAGAAAGTGATTTAACATTTCCTTCATAACCTGCTGGAAATGAGCTGGATTGTTCTGCTTCAACAGTTGTCTCAATTTTACTTGTTCATCTGCCCATCACGCATACTGTAGACTCACTCTATTTTGAAATGCTATTTATTTGTTTAGTAAAATGTAACCATTCCGTTGCAGCTTTTGATGGAGACATCTGGTGACTGTAGCAGCCCATGTGTCAGGGTAACTCCTGGGTTCCTTACACATCTGCAAGATTTGGAGCCCCAGGTGGCAAGAAGACGCTTATCTCAGGCACGACACCGGGCTACACTGGCAGGACTCTTCAACAACCTGCGGGAAACTGTTTATTCTCAGTCCAACAATTCAGCATCAAAGGTATGGAAGAAAAACTGTATTTGTTTTTGGGATATGTGTTTGCAAAGGCAAAGTGTACCTAACCAGATTCATAGTTCTGATCACAATATCTTTTGGAGTTCAAATATGTAATATGTAAGTAATGTAATTTTATCATGTGCAGCTTTCAATGAGTATCTTTTATTTGCACAAATATTGCCACCAGAACAAGAAGGATTAAGTGCCTTACAGCCATGAGTTTATCATATGACTTTCCTCCAATTTGTAGATTTTGAGCTTCTACAAAATTGCAGAATTTTGGACACTTGTCAAGGAATGCCTTGTTTAAATTGCATCCTTGACATAAAGCTGTAAAATCAGAACTAGTGGGTTCTTCTAGGGTGGAAGTAATTCATTCAACCTCATGAGTTGACTTATAAAGAGGAGGGGAAGAAAACGGGGAAAGTAAGTAAAAATAAAAAAAAATCAAACAGTAACATTTCCTGAGTTTTAGAAAATGTGTAAGCAAAAGATACTATATAAAAAAGTGAAAAGGGCGCTAATTTGGTATTAAA